GGGGAGTTCAGATTGCTGACCTTGAAGTTAGCTGTTCAATGAACAGCCATTGTGCCACCGGGGCCCTCTTCACGTAGGTGGTCCATTTTAAGGCCTGCTAACAGCGGTTTCCACAGCAGATTGAAGAGATGGGAGGGGTTAGAAACCACATCACATTCTTACCCACGGTGAAGAGCATTCTGTATTTTAAGACTACGGAAATTGAAACATAAAGCCAAAACCCAAACCCACTGCTATCAAAGCAAGTTTAACTCACAGCTACCCTGACTCTCCATAGGGTTTCTGAGACTGTCAATCTTTCCAGAAGCAAACAGCCTCAACTTTCTCCTTCAGAATAGTTGGGGGGGGGCAGGGTGCTGAACCCCAACATTGCAGTTAGCAGCCCAACACTTAACCCACTGCACCCGAGGGCACTTTGAAAGACAAAGGTTTTCACCAAGTACTGTAAGAAGCCCAGTACAAAAGAGCGGTGACAGGACTCTTCATTGTGGCAGAGGCAAAACTAGCATACAAGTGTTGAACTTTGAGAGGGCAGTTTGACTACATTAAAAAAAAAAGCATTGTATTACAGAACTCTGCTGCACAAGACCTCTTTCAAGTGTTGAAAGAGCAAGGATGTCACTTTGAGGACTAAGGTGTGGCTGACCCAAGCCAGGATATTTCAATCACTTCAAATGTCTGTAAAAGTTGGACAGTGAATAAGGAAGACCAAAGACAATCAGTGTATTTGAACTACGGTGTTGGTGGAGAACAGCAAAAGAATCACAGACTGCCCAAAGAACAAACAGGTCTATCTCTGAAGATGCTAAGCCCAGAAGGCTCCTTAGAGGCAAAGATGGCGAGACTTCGTCCCACATACTTTGGACGTGTTACTAAGACAGACCAGTCCCTGGAGGAGGGCATGTCGGTAAAGTAGAGGGGCAGCGAAACAGGAAAGGCCCTGGATGAGATGAGTTGACACAGAGGCTACAACAAGGAGCTCAAATATAAGAGCAATGGTGAAGATGGTGCGAGACGGGCGGTGTTGCACGCTGTGACCTAAAGGGGCACTGTGAGTAGGGACCGACCCGAGGGCACTCACAAGAACAAACAACTAAAACTGCAAGCGAGCCGCTCTTTCTAATAAAGACCGTTGAATCTCATTTTCAGAAAGGTTATCTGTTTTACAT